ATGCAGATTGATTCAAGTGGGGCTGGGTTTTGTGCTGAGAGTTTGCATTTCTTATATTCTTCCAGGTAATAAAGTTGCCACTATATCCAGGGCCAAACTCTGAGGAAAAAGAGTTAGCTCACACCAGAAGGACTAGCATGGAAGGTCAGGTTAAAACCATGCCCAGGGGTGCATACCTGTAATCCCATCTACTTGGGAGACTGGGGCAAGAGGACTGCAAGTTTGGGATCAGGTTTAGCAACTTAACAACTTTTTTTAAAAAAATAAAATTTAAAAAAAGGCTGGAGATGTAGTTTAATGGTGGAGTACTTGCTTAGCATATGGGAGGCTCTGGGTTCAATCCTCAGTAGCAATAAAATAAAGAAAGGAAGGAAGAAAGGAAGAAAGGGAGGGTGGGACGGAGGGAAAGAGAAAGAAAAAAAAAAAAACAAAGAAAAGCCAGAAGTCCTTAGGTTGTTTTGGAAGATTATGTCTCTCTTAAAGAAGGGTCCACAGCCACCCAAGTAGGGATTCCAGTTTGCCTTGAAGCCATCTGAGAGCCTCTGCTCCAGGTATTTGGACCACCTCACACCTCACACTGTAACTGACGTACAGAGGACTCCTCTAGTGCCTCAGCCTATAGAATCCCCTTGAATCCTGCAAATGGGTTTACTGGGCACCTCTGGGGAATGCTGCAGGGTACTAGGAGCTCCAAACACAATCAACTCCAAGTCTAGGTTGTTTTCTGGAATCCTAGTGGCCAAGCAGGATTTAGGTAAAGGTCAGAGAGAAATAGTAATCCGGAGGTGGAGGTGCAAGGAGGGGAGTAATAAAGGTCACTTTATATTTGAAAAGAAAAATCCAGCATTCTTGAGGCATAGCATATTAGAAAAGAGAAAATTAGGCTACCACATCCTAAACTCAAATCTTCCTATTGTGTGGTGGCACACATGGCTTTTTGGTGGTGTATATGGGTTGGGACAGAGCTGTAGATACCACAAGCTCTTAAAATGCAGCAGCCTATACTAGTCACTGCATGGCTCTCTAAGTCAATTAAGGCTTGCAGTTCCTGTTTCTTTCAGTGGCTTAGGGCTGGTCTTCTCTAGGGCTAAGGAAAGACAACTTAAACTATCCCACACCATCAAATCTGCTATAGTAGATAATTCCCAAAGTCCACTGTCAACATTTTCTCCCTCAGGTAAACATGCACACTATACCAGGAGTCTTTTGCCCCTCTCCTGAATCTGGGCTGGCCTGTCACCTGCTTCATTTAATAAAATGTAGCAAAAGTAGTGTTCTGAAATTGAGAGGACTTATAGTTTTCACTTTCACCCTCATGGAATCCAGCTGCCTGAATCTTGGGTTAGATTATTGAATAATGAGACTCCACATGAGGAGAAGGAGAACCATCCAGTCCTCAGACAGCCCAGCCCTAGCCGCTCTCCCAACCAAGTGTGATCATGGGAATGAATCTAGCTGGTACTACTGGAGTCAAAGAACTGTGCAGCCAACACACAGAATCATAGGAAATAATAAGGAAAATATCTTGAAGCTGTTTATTACATTGCAATAGATAACTGAGATAAAGCCATGCAGCACTGCCTTGGGGACTGGGTGGTGATGAAAGCAAGAATCTCATCCTATTCCTCAAGGCCAGAAGCACAGTAAATAAACTGCTTTTGGGGTCTTCAGAAGGGCCATTCACATCAAGAAGACCAGGCTGCTTGGCAACACTACCACCTGCTGTAAAACGGAAAATAAAAATATAACTAATGACCCTGTGGATCTGGCTGACAATTTTAGGGCGGTGATCAAAGTTTTCATAGTATATATAGAGAGTTATGAAAAAGATGAACTAAAGACAGAACTGTTAAGTTTTCCTGCAGAATTCAGAGGAAATATAGAGATCTCTCCACTCAGCAAAAAAATCTCAAAGAGATGGCCTCAGGGTGGTGGGTACATTGTAGACCTCTCAGCTAGACAAAAGAGCTCTGTAATATATATGTAATTTAAATTTTTTCCCAATATATTATGATGTCTTCACAACTCCACAAAACCTTTCTGGCTGGGGAGAGACTGCCCCTAGCTGGACTAGTTAATTCTTAGAGGTTACAAATACCTCTCAGAACTAGTCAGGGGCATGCCTCTGATATGCAAATGATTGAGTCTAAATCCAGATCTCCTCTGTTTGAGCCATACACCCCAGGAGGCAAGATTCCTCTGCCTTAATTATCCCAAAACCAGGTACTAGGAGTCACTTCTATAGCTTACAGTCTGAAGAAATTATTCAAACTAGTCAATCAGGAACTATTTGTGCTGCCCTGTCTTATCTTTCCAAAGATATACCTATATATAGTCTCTGATTTAAATTTTTCTCTTAGTCCTGCCCCTTATGACTCCTGACTACCCTGGTGTCTATATAGTACCCTGGTGTAGTATTCCATGCCTTCTGTCTCTGGTACCTATGAGTATACTTGTTTTTCAGAGTCTTTCCTCGGTCTCTCCTTGTGGCCATACCTGACTGACCATCTCCTAAAACGCTACAGAACAGGCTCCCAGCAATTTGAAGGGTGAAGACCTGGGGCACCTAGGTTCATAGTCTAGGAAAAAGAAAGACAAGTCTGCAAGTTATTTCTAGTATGGATTCTTTTTGCTCATTCAGTGGAACATCTAAAAGTTGTTAAGGGTTTGTACTATGCTGGATTAAAACAGATCAGAGATGGTTTAAAATGAAATGAGGTCTCTGTGGTTTTAAATCCTACTAGCAGGAAGCATACTAAGAAATAAGTCCAAAAGAAAAGCAGATTATTTCTTGTGGAAAAAAAAAAAAAGAACATAGGCTGGGCAGTCGGTTGGTGCAGCTCAGTGGTACAGTTCTTGTCTACCATGTAGAAGGCCCTGGGTTTAGTCCCCAGAATCATAAGAACACAGACACAGATGGTCAGATGGTGGGTGGAGCAAGGGGCTTTTGAAGGCAGCAGATTGGCAAACCAGGCCTAGGGAAAAGAACTAGATCCCAGTCTAGACACATTCCTGTTTGCAGAGTTGGAGAAACTGGTAACACATGCCAGGCTGGATTCAGAATTATCATAGACTGATGACTAAAATGTGCTGTCCCTTTCCACCTTTTTGAACAAAAGTGTCTGTAATTATCCTATCCCTGCTCTAACATTGCATGTTTAGAGTCTGTGTGGGGAGACATATAACTAGTCTTTAGTATACGTGTTTTCAAATCAAGAGAAGCCCATATGGGCAGTTCATTCAGATCTACAGCTGATAAGTCCTAGACATTGAATCTTTCATGTAATGGAACTTAGAAATTAATTTTTTGAGGGAAGAGGTGAGTGTATTTTGCATGTGGAAGAAACATGAATTGCTATTGCCACTAAGTGGCTGAGTATTATTTTCAAAGATGGCTGCCTACAGTGCTTCTTAGTCCTGTATCTGGATGCCATGCCTCCAATCTTGGACTTGTGACTTGCTTCAACCTATGAAATATATGGTGAACAACATTCTGGAATGCCAGAACCAGGTCTTTTAGCAGGCCTTAGAGCTTTAGCCTTTGTCTTCTTAGGATCCAGTCACCACATCTGGAGCCCAAGCTAGTTTACAGAAAGATGAGACATGTGTGAACAAAGAAGAGATCCAGCTACCCCCAGACATTCCAGCTACACCAGCTGACAAGCCAGATATGTGTGATCCTTCTTGGATCCTCCAGCCCCAGGCAAGCCCACTCCAGCAAACACTCTGTGGATCAGTGATGAGTCCTCTCTATCAAGCCCTGCCCCAAATCATGAATGTGAAAAATGACTGATATTTTTTAAACCACTATTTGGATGATGCTTGATGCAACAATAAATACTTGAAACAGCTGCGAAATAGCGGACATGGAAACAAGAAGAATGCATGCACGTTTAGCAATTTTAGTAAGTGTACTCAATTCTTTAGTATGAACTTGTGCACTTTGGTTGTTTTTACCTATTTTCTGAAAATTTTGACTTTAAAATAGTAAAAATGAAAAACAGATTTCAAGGCTCCAATAAGTAATGAGTATAGGCTTACTGCCAAGACATTTTTAATTGCAAACATCAAGTCGATGTTACCCTTGACCCATCTAGGACACCTAAGTATAGGGCAGTGATCAAAGGTTTGGACAGGATAGCTCAATGCAACTATCATGGCTGTATCAATATAAACAAAAATACACTAAAACCAGCCAGAATCATTTTCTCACATCCATAGTACTTAATTCAGAAATCACTTAACTCATTTAGTCAGTTTTCTAAGGATGGTTCTCTTCAATAATCACATTTTTGTTTCCTAGTCACCCAAATATGACAGACTCAAGAAACAAGTATGATTTCATTATTATAAAAAGTTGCCTCTGGCCGGACATGTTGGTGCACACTTGTAATCCCAGTGATTCAGGAGGCTAAGATGGGAGAATCATGAGCTCAAAGCCAGCCTTAGCAAAAGTGAGGTGCTAAGCAACTCAGTGAGACCTTGTCTCTAAATAAAATACAAAATAGGGCTGGGGATGTGACTCAGTGGTTGAGTGCCCCTGAGTTCAATCCCCCCAGTACCAAAAAAAAAAAAGTAGGCTCTGTAGCCTAGTGGTAAATTATAACACAAATTGACCAAATAAATATCTTGGCAATAAGTTACAGAAATAGATTTGTAAACATGCAGGTTGTGCAAAGCACATTTCTGGTCCTTGCTGTTGACAGGTGCTCTGATGTGAATGGCACTCCTGGAGTCATGTGGCACAATGCTATACAGAGAGCCTACAGTAGGCAAAGTGGAAATATGCTCATGCCCTCAAAAGCCTGGGGTGCTAGTAGGAGCCAAGGAACATATGATTAACCACAACATGTTTAGATAAATGCGATGATATGCACGTACTCATGAGTGAAGGTGGAATTTAAAAAATGAGTTGAGCTTGAGGAGTGGAAGAAAAGAATACTAAAGACTGTAAAATGCACATACGTAAAATTATCACACACAGAGAGAATGCAGCTTACCTGACATGCTGATGGATGAGTGTGGTTGAGATCCCAATGGGAAGACACTATGTCAACAGACTTTTTGGCCATGTTGAGTAAATTCATCCAGCCTTGGAAAAGTGATAAGTGAAATGGTGCATTTTCTGAATAGTTAAGGCCTTCAGGAATATTTTCCACCAGGGCAATTCTTAGAAAAGATTTTGAAAAAACAAACAAACAAAATCTAGTCAAATGTGAAGCCATCAATCTTTCTTTACATTATTTACACAGAGACATCTGGAAAACACTCTTAAATTTTTCTGAATGTACACGTCCTTCATAATTTATGTCTTTCCATCAAAGGTCTTTTAGGTTTCATCTATGCTAATTGTGTTCTGAGAGTTCACATACTTGATGCTCATATTTCAGAAAAAATCATAGTATTTGTCCTTAATGTCCTGTTTCGAATTGACCTTGAAAAAAAAGTCAGTGTTTCCTACATGAGCATCATCTTCTAGTACTACATTCCTAATTTTTACCCTGCAGCAATGTAATTACTTTATAAAATGCTATTTCTGCAAGTTACATGAGGCCACAAATTAAGTTTATATATCTCCAATTTTCAATATGATGTTAGGCTCCTATTGGAATTCAATGAAAGTGATTATTGCTTAACACCTCTATTGATGCTTCCCAGTCTAAGGTAAAAAGTAATACTGAGAAAAAGTAATAAAAACTGCCTGGTGCAAGATTTTATTAAAGTCAAAAATAAGGAATGTATAAAATATTAGCAACAAACAAGCCCTAAATAAACTCAGTTAGCAATATTGTATTTTATCTTTGTATATACTGTTATATATTGGCCACATCTCCACTGTAACCACCTCTCTGAGTTAGCTGAACAAATTTTTTTCCAGTTAAGTATATTCTCCTGCAATTCTTGAGGAAGAAATCCCAAACTTCTTTGACAATATCTGTTATGAGCTTTCAGAACAATAATCTGTTTTATTAATAGCTGCATGCCCAGAGACAGATGCAAAATTGGGGGCTGGAAGTATAGTTCAATGACAGTGTGCTTAGAATGCACCTGGCCCAGTGTTCCATCCCCAGCAAAATAAAAAATAAATACATAATTTGAGCTCTACAATACTCATAGAATAAATTTCAACTTTCAATACAGAATTTAGCACTTCTCAGTAAAACTGTTAACTGTTACTGTTTTGAGATTTGTTTCATTTAGCCGCCTTCAGAAAAAAAACAATACTGTTAATAAAATATCCAGTGTATCTGGTGAACCTAGAATATTATAGCCAGCATGAGGTTTGGGATTTTGTTCAGAGACATTCACAATTTGGAATCAAATCACCTCACTACCACCTGTTAATTCATTTAACATTTATTGATCCCTTTTACATAAAGGGCAAATAAATCACTTTATGTAACACAGAAAAGATGATGATAAATCTCCCTAGTCCCTAGAAATTCATACTCTAGTGGGACAGTCTGTCTCATATTAACTAATTCAAATAGAATTCTAATAGGGAATAGATTCTAGTAAATGGTGAAACACAAGTAAGAAGTTTAATTAGATAGATAATTGGAACCTATGCAGAAAGGAAGATTAATTGATTGGGGACATCTGGAATTGAAAGAAGCTGGATCAGGAATGAGTCTTCAATATGGAATTTTTTTATAAGTGAACTGGAAGAGAAAGATATTCTAAGAAGGTGGGGGGAGTTTAGTGTATCTAGAGATTCGTGAGTTGGTGCGTGAAATAGGAAATTTGTGGAAGGTGCTTGTATGGTGGAGAAAACTGGCAGTGTCCACAGAGCCAGCGCTGTGGAGGTGGTGAACCAGGAAGAAGAGTTTGGATTTAATGTTTATGCATTTGGCAGCAACAAAATGCATTTCATGTGGATAAGGGGGATAATTCTAGCAGCACAGCTGTATGGTACTGAAGTAGAGAACAAGGAAACTAGGAGATCTAGAAGGTCAGTAGAGTAAGAGGCTGTTGAAACAGTTCTGAAAAGACAAAGAAGAAGTTTGAATCAGGTCAATGGGAATAAAAAATAACAGGCAATGGACATTTTTAGAAAATAAATCTTAAGGATGCAATATTTTATGGGTAGGAAGAGCAAGTGATGGAGAAATACTCAGTCAACGAGGACTCAGATTTTTCTGAGAGAAAAACAGCATCTCTGAGCTGGGCTTTGATACACCTTCAGTGGTCTCTGGCCCTTTGCCAAACTAATTTCCATACACAGATTAATCTTAAAAAGTGTAGACCTAAATGCTATGCCTAACTGAATTTCCTATGGACTTCYCCACTAGCCTTAAGACGGTGATACTTACTCCCTATCCCACGCTACCATGGTAGCAAGGGTTTGCCAGTGTGACCTGCCCCTCTAGAATTCTAACAGGAAGTAGATTCTTTATTAGATTCAGATGCCCTCTTTTAGTTTTCCACGTTTTTCTTTTTCTTTTTCATTATAGTTGTACATAATGATGGGATTGCTGTTACATATACTGTGCAATATAACAAAATAATTTGGYCCATATCACTCCCCAGCACCTCCTCCTTCCCTCCCTGCCTCCCACCTCTTGGTCCCTTTCCTCTACTGTCTCCCTTTGATTTTCATGAGATCAGTTGGCCTCTTTTGAGTTTCATATCACAGCAAACTTTACATCTTTTCCTCCTTCCCTGCTATTCTCTAGATTTTGGCATTTGGGCATTTAGAAATGTATATTTAGAAATTTAGAAACTATAACATTTACATTTTCTAAATCCCAGTTCCTACACTAGTCATTGAGCTCTCCCTCAACGACCTTCAAGTTTCCAATTTAAACATTACTTCCCCTAGATGGACTTCCCAAAGTCCCCAAAGTAGGCTAGATCCGTAATGATCAACTCTGACCCTTTCATCCTACTCATTAAGGTTGCTCTCCTTGGTAGACTGTCGAGTGTGCAAAGGAAGGAACCTACTCCATTGGTCCAGATGTGTATCCCTAGCACTTAACAAAGTGTCTAAAGAATGCGTGCCGAGTTTTATTAAAATCTGAACAACTTGGAAGAGGCAGGTAGGGCTCTTATACTGCTGACAAGGAACATGGGAAAGGATGGAAATTAGGGATTGGGAGATAGTGTCAAGGTAAAACACATCAAGAGGAAACCATCCCAAGGCCTAATGTGGAGGAAGTGCCTACATCTTATGGTTGGCAGAGTGGGAGACAGACAAGAGGATTTTAGAAATGACCATTAAAGAAGCTGGAAGACAAGAGAAGCCCAGGAGAAGGCAGCAGTGAGGAAGTCAACAGAGGGTTAAATTTTACCGACTTCAAAATCTTCAAAGGCAGAAGACAGTGGTCAAGATTTAATATTGTGATATTATTCACATTTTAAGCCCAATTAGCCAATTCATAGAAGTTAGACACGGCATAAACACATGAATTGAGACAATCAGCAGTTTCAGCCTTCCCTACAACCATAAAGTATATTTCAAACCATGAATATATTTAAAAACTACCCCCAAACCAAAAAAGAATGTCCTTCATCAAAACCAAAACACAATAGCTGCCAAACAAATAGAACTGACTAGGTTTTTTTTTTTTAATATATATTTTTTAGTTGTAGGCGGACACAACGCCTTTATTTTTATTTACTTATTTTTATGTGGTGCTGAGGATGGAACCTAGTGTCTCACCCATGGTAGGTGAGCACTCTACCAGTGAGCCACAACTCCAGCCCGAAACTGACTAGTTTTAATCTTACTTTGATATTAAAAAACATACCCAGAAAGACACGAGAAGTCTCAAGAAGCCCAGATAAATCAAATAGATAAAATAAGGAATGTAGAATGAATGATTGTACAATTGTGGATGGCTCATACCATCTCATTCTTCTTACTGGCCCCTTACTGACTTCTGCTAGGCATATGAATGAGGGAGGATTCCCAGTCTCTTGAAAATCTTTAGACCAGGTGTTCTTAASGTGGATCTGTGGATACAACCCATAGGTTCCTATTAACTTGGATTTTGACATTTTTATTTACTCTAATCTGTAATCAAAATTTAGCATTCCCTTTAGTTATGACCAAAGACAACCACAGGACTAGAATTAGCAGAATCTGTAATTTTGGCAGTATTAAGAAGAATTTTTCTTTTTTTCTAAAACAAGATGGCACCATCCACGCTGCTCTTGATAGTCCAAGGATACGGGCTGGGTATGGTGAATGGACTACCACACTTGTATTTTCCAGGTGGTCTGGGGCATTCTTTATAAAAAGTTTGTATTGAAATTCTCTACCCTTCTCAAAATCAGGGATGACAGCTGGAATTTGAAAAAAAAAATTACAAAGTTTATACCTATAGTGATATGGGATCTTGTTTGGCAGAGTTGCTAGAATAAAAGGACATATCATCAATTCACTAACAATGGGCCACTGCATGACTTCAGCTTCCCAAAAGTAGTCTGTCCTGAATTTTCACAAGGAAACAATGTCTTGGCAATGTGAGCCTTATACTACTCCTTCTAAAGATGGTACAGCTGGGATATTCAACCTACAATTTTATGATGTGAAAACTGAAACATGTTTGAGATCATCCATCCAGAAAAAAAAAAAAATGCAACATTGATTGGAGTCCATCTGGTCAGAAGATAAAAGTACCTTACCTGAGTTGTTAATGACGAATTTTGTTTGTTTTTTTTAAATATCAGTTTTAACACAACTATAAACAATTACATTTGGAAAAATTAATGATTTTGTGTTATCAYCTGGACTCCAACAATACAAAAGAGTTATGTTCTAGCAAGTAAAGTTGTACCTTCATTTGTTAGATTACATCAGCACCCCAACTTTGGTGGATCACATGCAGCTTTAGCCAATAAGTTTCTTTAAGGATAATAAGGTTACTATGGAAGAATAATAATAACAAAACAACCATTGTGATGGTAATAGCTAGAACATGTGTTGACAAAACCATTGTTTCCTACAAATAGGAAACAAATATTGCATTATATTCAACAAATGGATAAAATGCTGTAACACAACTATCAAAATAGAGCCACAAATGTTGATTGGAATTCTAGCGCTACTAAGTTTTGTGCTGTTTAGGGTTTCATGCTTATCAAAGTAACAATTTTAAACTTGAAATGTGATCCTGTATTTTCATTTTGGAAATAGTTCTTGTACCAAGTCTACTATAGCCCTC